AATTACAAAAGAATCGATGCCTTTCACTGATAAAGGAGGGGATTAAATACCCAATGTACAGAGAGATTACAGGAGGAAATTGGGGAAAATCTAGGCTAAATAAGGAAGTACTAATTTACATTAATTACACAGTAAATATAAGATCGGAAATATACAGAAGGTGTATATTTTGGTTAATATTTATGATTAAAATAAAATGATTGTACTAAACACATTTTCTTTATATAGGTATAAAATGGTATTTGTTCCATTCACATCAGTTGACTACCACAAGAAATCAGTTACTGTTGGCGCTGGGTTGTTGAGTAAAGAGACAATTTGGTCGTATGAATGACTAATTAAATCTTTTCTTAGAGCTCATGAAGGGAAAGCATCAAAAATTGTTCTAACTGATCAAGATCCAACAATAAACCAAGCAGTGGAATTTGTCTTACCAAATTCAAGACACAGACTATGCATATGACACATAATGAAAAAAATACAAGCAAAGGTATAATAAAAATAAAACTTTATAATTATATATGATTAAGTATTCTAATAATATTAATTATTAGATTTCATACTGTATAATCATATATGATTAATCATATATGAGTATAATAATATAAATTATCAGATATCATATTGTATAATCATATATGATTAATAATATATGATTATAGAGTATGATATATGATAATACATTATATAATCATATATGATTATATAGTATGATATCTGATAATTCATATTATTAGAATAGTTAATCATATATTATTAATCATATATGATTATATACAATATTATCGTATATCATAGTATATTATCATATATGGTTAATCATATATGATTATATAGTATGATATCTGATAATTCATATTATTAGAATAGTTAATCATATATGATTATAATAATATGAATTATCAGATATCATATTATATAATCATATATGATTAACCATATATTATTAATCCTGCAATACAATACATAATCATATATGATTACTCATATATTATATATGCAAATAAATATATAATTTATACTTATATAAGTAAAATTGTTCATTCATAGGTTACTAGCGATTTATTTAAAAACAAAGACTTCAAGAAAAGATTTAACAAGCTTGTAAGGAACATGAATATCAAACCTGATGAATTTGAGAAGAAATGAGAGTTGATTATTAATGAATTCAACCTCAAAGATAAAATATGGTTCAATGATATGTTCGAATTACTTGACAAATGGATACCTGCATACTTCAATGACACTAGAATGTTTGGATTGATGAAAACCACTTCAAAGATCAGAAAGCATGAATTCCTTCTTCAACACTTACTCGCAATTTGGAAATTTACTTTTACAATTCATGATGAACTATGACATAACAATTCAAAAACAAAGAAATACACAAAAGGAGCTTCATCATCAAACAAAGAAGACAATATATAAATTTATTTCACCGCAACCAATAGAAAAACATGTTGCAAAAGTTTATACAAGTACATTGTTTTATAAAGTACAAAAAGAAATCTACAAAGGTTTTACTGCCAATACAAACATATTGGAACAAAAAATGGATGTGAGTTATACAAAGTGGAACAACTGAACAAAAATAGTGATCTAAAAACAGAATTTGAGGTAATATATTCTTATTTTAAGTTTTGATGAATCAAAACACAATATACAACAATTTTTAGTTATGATTATAATACACTTAATGCTTTACTTTTATTTTGAACATGTAGAAATAAAACTTCCAATAAATGATGTAAAATGTACTTGTGAGCACTTCAACCGCTTTGGGACTTTGTGCAGACATGCATTCAACATACTTATGAAACATGGAATTAAGGAAAATACCTGAACAATACATTGAGAATCGTTGGAGAAAGGATGGGATATCAAGGAATTATCACTTTGGAAGGTATGTATAGGATACAATAGACAGGGAAATTAACAGATTTTTCAATCAAGGATACTACAACTTTGAAGCATGCTTGGAATACGTAAGAAAAAATAAAGACAAAGTTGATTTGTTTGTTAAGAAAACAAAAAGCATGTTGAAGGAATACGAGAACGATCCTACAAATGAATTGCAGAAAAATAGGACAGATGTTGAAGAGGTAGCAAAGTTTATGGACATTTCTATTCTAAAAGAAATTGACATCCATGTTCCAAATGTTCAAAGCAATAAAGGAAGCGGAAAGAAAAATAGAATTCAAAGTGCAGCAGAAATAACATATAAAATTCAAACAAGCAAACAAGAAGATGCTCAGGATGTGGAGAAAGGGCTCTTCATAACTTGCGTACATGCCCAATAAAACTTGCAAAACTTGCAACAGAACAATCATCAAAAGCTACATAGATAATTACTAGTTTAAGCAGTAATGAATAATTCAAGATTTATTTTTCTAAATAATATACTTTTTGTTTTGTACAATTTACTCTTTTTATAAAACATAATTTACTTTGATAATTCTTTCTTTGATTTAATTAGTAGTACAAGAAATCAGTTTTCCTGAATTTTTTCTATCTTAAACCTTCTTCTATGTAACTTTATGTCTTTTATGATTACAAAAGTATATAATCATTTATGATTAAACAAAACATACGAAGTGGTATTACATAATCATTTATGATTATACAAATAAAAATAATTATGTAATCTGTTAATTGTTATTCAATACATGCAATCATTTATGATTACATATAAATAACATCTAAGTTCAAACATAAAGGATTATGTAATACCACTTCATATGTTTTGTTTAATCATAAGTGATTAAAAATATGATTACATATAAATAACATCAAAGTTAAACTACAAAACTCATTACATATAACCATATACAAGAACATTGTTCCTAACAAATATACAACAATGTTCATAAAAAATATAAACATAACAATATACATCTAGAAAATCAAATTCTAACACTACTAGAAAAATAGCCTTTTACGACGCTCATTGCGCGTCGTAAAAGGCTCAGACGACGCGCAAATGCGCGTCAAGGAAGGCCCTGTCATAAAGAGAGATGACGCGCTTTTGCGCGTCATCTATAGACGACGCGCATTTACGACGCTCATTTACGACGCGCAATTACGACGCGCGTTTACGACACGCAATGCGTATCAAGGAAGGCCCTGTCATAAAGGAAAACGACACGCATTCGTGTGTCGTAACCTTACGACGCGCGTGTTAATGACACGCAATACGTATCAAGAAAGCCCCTGTCAAGAAAGGCCATGTCATTAATGACGATGACACACATTTTTGCGTATCATAATTTTAAATGTTTAAAAAAATATATTTATATATTTATTAATTTTTAAATTAAATTTGCATTTAATGTCTCATAAACATAATAAATTACCATATACAAAAAATAGAATCCATTGCATAAAATTGAATGTCATACAATTCTATTTCATTACAATATATAAATTTGTATTCATCTAATCTACTATGTGTTTCATAGTAACAATTGAAATGAAGAATGCAACACTTGCATTTGCAGCATTTTATCTCTTTTAGCTTGAGCTTTCTTTTCCTCTTCTAACTCCAGAGCTATTCTCTTTCATCAATCCTGTAAAATTAATTCTTATTAAGACACTCTACTTTTAAACCTACCAAGTTCACAGGTAAGATTGCAATTCCAATTGGATTAACACTTGAATGCAACCTTGGGATCCCTTAAGTGAATGCAACATTCATTTTATTTATTTGTTTGTGTTTATTATTTAATCAGGCTGTGGTATATTCTAGAAAATGTGTTTAGGCAAAAGTTTTATCCACTTGCAATTCCACTTGGATCAACACCAAAAATACCAAACAAAACTGCAGAAATGGTACCTGTTCTATCCTTCGCCACTACATTCATTATATGTTTGAGCCTTCAAAACTTCACCACCAAACTCACCTGAAACACCATACACCTCTCAGTCCTATTGCAAATGAAAACCAAATATGATAAATTTACTTACCTGCTCTGTTACACTCTCCACGAACCCATCACAATCGAATATTTCCAGCCTCCATCAAGTCACCCTTACCTGCTCACTATCGAAACCAACATCACCAACATCATTAATTGAGCCAGAAAATAGAAAAGCAGGAGAAAAAGAAATAAGAGTGACCCAAGAGGCCAAGACCTTCCTGCTACCAATCGAAACAAGAATAAGGAGAAAAAGAAATAAGAGTTTTTTTTTTGTTGTTCCTGTGATTTTCGTTTGAAGTAAAATACCAAAAAAAGTTTTTTGTGTGTTTTTCTCATGAATCAAAAGAACAAAAAAAATCAAAAAAACTAGAGGCCACCACCCTCTCAGAGCCTACTGTTCATCATCTTCTTCGTCTCGAACATCTCAAACCTGCAACACAAACCGGAAAATGTTTTGCATACAAGACCTTAGCATTCAATAAAAGTTGTTGAGATTGAATCTCCTTCCTTTATGTCTTCATATGCGGCAGAAAAAGAAGGAAAAGAACAGTGTGCATCACCATTGATCCGATTCAGAGGAATATGCCTAAAAGTAAAATACCAACCAACTTAATATATATAGTATATACGACATAATTACACATCATCATGTATGTATAAATAGATATTATACCTGTAGAAATATTCTGGATCTGTCTCTTCTCTTAATTACACATCATCATGTATGTATAAATAGATATTATACCTATAGAAATTTACCAAAATACCCTCCATACTATTATCCTACAGGTTAATTATAGTTGCATGTTTTTGCCCACATAAACATATAATCATGATTGGAGTCCAAGATAATGGTTTTTTATTTAAATCGGTAGATAAAAGTAGTGAAGAATGAAAAAGATGCTTGGCTTCTGGATCAGGGGTCGTATAGTCAATTAGTCATCCTAGTGATCAGATTCTTCTTTTCTAATAGCCTTAATCTGGTTAAATAGAAGGTTTATGATTGGGGTAAATCTATAACTTCAAGGACATGTGGGTCCCTTTGTGTTTTAGGAGAAGAAGAAGAAGAAGAAGAAGAAGAAGAGTAATTAGGACATCAAAAAAAAGACATTTAACATAATATAAAAGATTAAAATAAAAACTATAATTGTGGTATACCTTGAAAGTAGACTGTCAAAATTAGAAAAAACTAGGATGTCATTTTCTTTTCTTCATTCAACAAACTGCTTTTTTTTATCTGAATACCCGATAACAAACCTAAAAAAATAAAAAATAAAAATAAAAAAGTCACTTGTGTTACCCCACATTTCTTCTTATATGAACTGCTACAAGTATTATTAAAATTTGAGGGGTAATATTGACCTTTTGGCACAGTTAAGTCTACAAAACTGCAGCTTTCTGAAGGATGAGGGCAAAATGGGGATTGAATTATTGCTTGAACTGATCACCCAAACCTTGGGGCATTCCTAAGCTCTGTGCAAGATCGCCCATTCGTGCTTTCATGGCCTAAAAAGGGGTAAAACGGTCAAATTCAAAATATATTACTCCAAGGGTAAAATTGTACTTTTATATTATCATACAAACCTGGACACTCTTTTGATGGGCATCTCTATATGCTTCTGTAATCAGAAGTGACAGTTTCTGCAAAAAAAATCAATGATATAATATATCATTCTTTTACTAATTTATCTGATATATGAAACAATGTTTTAACATTTAATTCAAAAAAAAAAAGAGTAAGATACAAAAATATAAAATGAAATAATATAATAAAATTACTCACTTCTGAACCCTTTCCATTGCAGCCTCTGTAATTTCTGTGCGTACAGGTTGCTGATTCCCAGAGAGAGTGACCTAAAGTTGTAGCTCTCAATCCAACAACTTCATGTGCTACATCTTTGTCAACAGCGGGACCCACTATGGATTCCCATTTTATATGCTTTCTCTTACCTCCAAAATTTTCCTAAAAATGTATAAATAAAGTATTTGTAAAATTATAATTATAATTACATGACATGAAAATGGAATTAGTTACCTCATCTGAAGACTCCAATTCTGATTCACCACTTGAGAGATGTGCAACACTGGAGTTTGTATCTACAGGAGAGGGTGGGGTGGGGGTGGGTGGGTAGGTAGGGGTAGGGGTGGGGTGGGTAGTTCTGCACGAAATGGGGCTGAAAATTGTGAAACAAAGTTTTTGTGAAACAATAGTCTCTTGATGAGATGAACTAGCAGATGATTTGGAGAGGGCGATGCTAAGCAGGAAACTACTGAGGAAATACTCACCAAGGGAAAGGGAAGGCCTTTTTCTACCAGACCACCTGCAGAAAGAAGCATTCCAACACATGATTTTGATCCTCTTGCCACTGCCACATGCAAAGGAATGGTTTTTTGCACATTCCTTATGCTCACATCAACTCCAACATAAGGAATAATCTGTTCAAACATAACAACAGTTAATGGTCCAACCAATTCAACTCATTCATGCCTTTCTGTACATAAAATGTCAACACACTTGAGGAAATAAATGGAAGAATAAATAAATAAATAAATAAATAAACTTACTTTAACTAACTCCAAATCATTAGTCATAGCAGCAGTATGTAGAGTTGTACCTCCATGTTGCGTGTCTTGAGCAGTAGCTTCAGCTCTAACAACAAGAAGAATCTGTACAAGTTCTCTACCATCTACAACATAATTAAATAATTATATATATTTAGGGTAATAAAAACATAATTATATATATATATATATATATATATATATATATAGCAGCAATATGGATAATTATATATATATATATATATATATATATATATATATATATATATATATATATTGGGTAATAAACAACATAATTAAATAAATATATATAAAAAATACCTTGTCTTGGCTGAACATGTTTATATCTTCGACAATGAAGATGAGGTCAAATCTTGAAAGAATTGTAGTCTGTAAGTCAATGTTATCTTGTGCAGTTTTGAGATCATCATAACGACCTGATGGAGGGTTTGTTGCAGCTAATACAGAAGTCCTGGAATTCAGAATTGTTGTTATTCCTACTTTGGCTATGGATATTGTTTGTTGTTCCATGGCTTCATGTATGGCAGCCCTAATATGGAAGGGTGTTGTAGAATATTTGTATAAAAAAGTAAAAAGATAAGAAAGTTACAGTGTTGTTATCACAAATGACAGAAGCAGTAAGCCCAGCTGCAGATGAGCCTTTCCTGGAAGTGTATACAACTATAGGAGCAGTACGTACCTAACCTTGTCAAAAACAAAAATGTAATTTACTCAAATCCATATTTTTTTAACTAACATTGTCTTGTAACCATTGCATTCAAAGAGAACTAAGTTTATCATCAAAAAAGGCTACACCTAATTGACTGGTCAATAGTGGAATGTATTCTATATGTGCAACACCATTCATAATATGAAATAATAATTATAATAAGTTTCGTGGTGTACGAAGGTGTAATTAAGCATTACATATACAAAAAGTAAAAACCAAACCTGCAGAGCAACAAGCAATACCTTGTGTTTTTTTCTTTGTTTATTTCCACTTCTTCACAAAAACACCATTCATTCAAATCAAAACTTAACCAACAAAAAACAAAACCAAAAGAAATAAAATCTCCACACTCACATCACAGTCCACTCTCGTTCGATTCCTACAATAAAAATGATCAGGATGATGATGATTGAGGACATTTACGTCTTTTTTGCACATACAAGAGAGAGAGAGAGAGAGAGATTACAAGGTAAATTGGAGTAGGGTGTGGGTGTTAACGAGGTAACCTCTTATGGCTGAGAATCTCCTTGAGGTGATGATGGAACCTGCTGAGGCGGGCTTGGAGGCTCACAAGATTTGTTGCTTTGCTTGACAACATACAACTTAACTAAGTCACGTAGTTGTTGATAAGGCTTCCTGTTTTATTAGCTTCTGCCAGCAGTTTCATTTCCTGATTTCCAGCAAGGCTATTATGAATTGAACCCTAACATAAAACTCTTACCAAACAAGTTCAGGATGCCAACAACGGGAAGGAAGAAAAGGATGTTCGCAAGGAGAAAGAAGGTCTGACGCCGGCGAGGGTGGAAGAAGCAGTGGCAACGGCGGCGAGGAGAAGGAAGACCGACCGCAGCGACGGGAGGGGAGCCGGTGATGTCTTTGACCAGAGTATCTGAAGAGCTTGTATCTTCACGGCAAATAAAGCGATTGACAGGCAAAATTCCAAGAAACATGTGAAGATCGAGCAAGAACAAACTCAACAATCAAGTAAAAACAAAAGAACTCACTAATTGGGAAAGAGATAAATCTTGAAGCTCTTACCATATGAAGATATAGAAAAGATGATTGAAGAGGTCGATTGGGCAGATTTATAAGATCGCTTGTGGTAGGGAGGCAATGAATGGATGAAACAAGCCCTAACAAATCCAGGCGCAAATCCAGGCGAGAGGGATGAGATGGAAATACGAGAGTGTGATAGAAAAAATTAGGGTCGGATTTAGGAACCCTAAACCATCGGCTCAAATTGATAACTGGGAGGTAAGAACCCTAAATCCTCAGCTCATTAGGGTCGAATTAAGAGTGTACGAGTTTGTTGGAACCAAGAATTAGGTTTTTGGTGGAGGTTATGGATCGAGGAATTGAGGAAGTTGTGGATGAAGATGAAGGCCCTAATTCGAAGAGGCGGGCAATTTTTGGGATGAATAGGCGGGGTTAATTTTTTGGATTTCATTTTTCCCCCTAAAAACGCGTGTTTCCTAAAAAAATATAAAGCAACACAGTTACACGACGCACAGTTTTTGATAGGTGCCCTCCGTATTTTTTTTTCTAACACAAATTTAAGGGCACGCCAAAAATAGGTGTCTTCTATGCTTCAAATTTTGGAAAGCTAACATTAATTTTTAGGGCACGCACAAATGCGCGCCCTTTATCCGTGTGTGTCATTGATTGCGCATCGTAAAAGGCTATTTTTCTAGTAGTGTAATCACCCATCATAGAATAGCATCAAACATGATAAAATCTTCAATAACAAATAATTTCACAAGTCTTAAATATCATGTTCCCCATTTTCCAAAATTCTTGTTCTTCATATTCCTAGCTAGATTTTCATACAGATTGTAGTTGACTCCAAGAACTCTTCCACCATTACTTAGAAAGATTATCCCCATTGAACATAACACATCTTTACTACATATCTGATGTAGAGAAATGTTGTTCATTAAAAAGAAATCTTCTTTAAATGAAAAACATTCCTTTACTTCAAAGTCATCTAGTAAATATTTGATATGTTTGATGAAGATAAACTTTTTAAGTAATGGTGGAAGAGGAGTTCTCGGAGTCAGCTACAATCTGTATGTAAATCTACCTACAAATAAAAGAACAAGAATCTTGAAAAAATGGGGAACATGTTATTAGATACCGCAAAATTATTTCTTTTAGACTTATAGACTCCATATTTTACCTGAAACAAAATGGAAGTTGACAGCCTTCTTCACAATATCCATAACATACACAACAAAAACAAACTTGTTCGTATAACATCATCAATAAGAAAATATTCAATCAAAAGAAATTTGACAGCCTTCTTTCAATATTCCATTGAGCATCATATGCATGCTTACCACGTATCTTTTCATCAACTTTTTGATACTCATATGTTGCTTTCAGCACATCATCACGCTTTGTATTCATCTCAGAAGTTAAAATTGCTGCTGCATATTTCATTCTCAACTTTTCCAGAATTTTTTCTTGAGAACCACATTCTTTTGGAAGACCACATTTCCATTTAGAAACTTTTTCTCCAAAATAACTCTCCATATTTCTCATAGAAAAAAATACCATAATCAACTTTGTTATAAATTGTCTTCTATGGCATTGTCAATCTTACTGGTTTAAGATTTTTATCAGCCATCTCATTTGCTGTAACATGATTGATCTCTTTTATATACCTCAAAAAAAACTTTTTCTGAAAAATCATATATGATTTCACATCAAAAAAAATATAAGTATAATAATTATAAAACATATCATATATGATTTCAAATCTAAATTATAAATATGATTTGAAACTTACAAGAGGTTTAAAAACTACACCATACTTATAATCAAAATCAGCATCATCTGCACCATTATCAATAACCTCAAAAGCACGTTTCCTCAGATTGATAACAATAAAATATATGTGCTTTTGCCTCAAAACAAGGACAAATACCTAACATCAACATGTATAATATTATAAAAAAACATATATATATATATATATATATATATATATATACATATATATATATAAATGTATAAAAAAACTAAATATACCATACCAACATCCTTCAAAACCTAAGTCTCTATCACTAGAAACACTGCGAGAGAAGTTCTCCTTGAAAACTTTATATTATCCAGTTTCATTCAAATGATTATATTCAAATGACAAAATCTATAATATAAAAAACCAGAAATGATTATATAATAAAATGATTATAAAATATAAAAAGAAAAGAATAAAATAAAAACTTACAGTGTCAACATTCATGAACAATCTGAGTGGAAAATTAACAACATCTATGAATTTCTCTTCATGATTTAGTATATGAGACCATGAATCAAGAACACTTAAATGCAAATAGGTTTTTTTATAAAGACTTTCATAATTAGCTCTAAAACCCATAACATTTGTTTCCATAAGCAAGACAATATCCTGCATATACTTATTTAAATGTCATTAAAAATAAAAAATTATAATTACAAAAACAAAAAATTATATTTAAAAAAATTACCCTGGATTTCCTTGAAGGCTAAAAAGCCATTCACAAATGACATTTTCTACTTGTGTCAAACCTGTTTTAAAATCAATTAACCTTTTCTTAACAGGTTACTTATAAACATAAGAAAATTTCATTTCTCTCTTTCCTTTGACATCTACTACTGATGTTCCTTCTTCATTTATATCTTTAGGTTTGACAGAAATTGGTATTGACGGTCCTTTTAATGTACCCAAAGGGGGTGTGAAAGAAACAAGACTAGCATCAACAACATCAACATTTGGAATAACACCCTCTGGACCAACACTTGGTTTCTTCAAATAAACTCTATCCTTAATCTTTTTCTTTGTCATATGGTCATAAGAACTTTGACTTTGAGATGACTTCTTTGAACCTTCAGAATCTTGACTAAATCCAAGACTAAAACTGGAACAAAAAACTTCTCAACTTTCCCTTCCACTTTGTCCTTTTTCAGTGACTGAGTCTCCTTTGAATCATTCAATTGTATAATTTCTAAACCATCTTTAGTAGTTTATACACAATAAAATTAAAAAAATCATATATGAATCAAGAAGAATTATAAACACAATCATATATGAATAAACAATGATTATAAACTAATTACCTCCATCTTTATTTTTATTTGAAAAATCATCTATTGATTTCCCTAAATCCAAATCAACTTCAACATCTTCAACTTCTCCATCCTTCTTTTCTACAATAACTTTATCATCCTCACCAAAATTTACAGTCCCTAAATTATTAAAATCATAAGTGAATGATCTATATAACAAATTCATGTATATTTTATGTGTAAAAAATACATAAATAAATACTTACTGTCATCAAATTAATTTTTCTCAAAAACAGTCAAATTCTCATTCGCATCATTTTCAAGTTGTTTCTGATGTATACAACCATCAACCAAGTTTTCAGTACCTATAAAATTCAAATATAAAAATTTAAAATCATATATGATTAAGCTATAAATAATAATAAAACATGCTTACCTTGATCCAAAGTTTTAAGAAAACTTTCAACAACTGGATCACAAATGAATTGACTAAAAGATACACCTTCGTGGCTATCAATTAGACCCACACTCTTAACCTTCGTGGCTATCAATTAGACCCACACTCTTAGTAACATTTTAACAACAAAATTTAAATTCATGGACTATTCTTCATTGAATCCACTTCCATTTCCTTGTTCATCATCTTCATCATCTTTCTCATTCAACAAATCATTATTTTTACCAATATCATCCTCATATACATGATCATTAACATCACCTTTACCTTCAACATGATTTTTACCAACATTGTCCTCATGTGCACCACTTCCATCCCCCTGACCACCAGAACATTTCCATTGATCATCATCTTTAAATATTTTTATCATCAATCAAAAAAATCATTCCTATAATCTTCATCATTAATCAAAACTTTCTGTACTTAAATCTTCAATAGGAAATAATAATTTCCAAATTTTCAAATTTTGACTTTAAGGAAATTTCAACACTCCCTCATTTATCTTTACAACAAGATCCTTTTTTAAATCCTCCATCTTCTGATACATATATGAAATTTTATTTTCATACACCTACATAGAAAAATATACTTACAAATAAAATACTTAAACATAAAAATGTTGGATTAGTGTCTAAGCCCGTAACTATATTTAGTATGTACTTGACTCGGTTGTGCATGGTCCTTTTGGGTTGCCTTCTCCAAAGCAACTTGACAAGGTAATTTAAGGAGAGAGAGAGAGAGAGAGTATTATGGTTTATTAATATATTATAAGAATAATATATTAAAGGAGAAATCATATTTATTTAATTAGTATTAGTCATAAATTAATTAGGAATTAATTTGGTGACTAAAAGAGATTAATAAAGTAAAGGGGCATCAACTGTCAAATGTGTGATAGTTGAGCTTTGGGCTAGGAAACCTAATGGACTAGGGGGGAACGAAATTATGATGAAGGATCATCATATTTTCATCTAAGGCCTTAATTCCAGAAGGTTCCTTGGGCTGCTTGGTGGCTAAGCTGTCCATTAGGGTTTAGACTGAAACCCAAGCAACCTACAGTATAAATATGAACCCTAGGCTATGAAAATCGGCTACACTTGATTCCAAGGGAACCCTAGGGCCGATTTTAGCATCTCTCACCCTCTCTCATATTGCCTTCTTGTTTGTGGGGTTTGTGAACCATTAGAGGAGTTACAATTGTGACTCTAAGCTCAAGATTAAGAAGACTACAAGGACTTCAAGCCATTTGAAAGAGGTAAAACAATTAGATATGTTTTTATGATGTTATTTTCGAATTATATATGATAGATCTAGGGCTGCAAGTCTTGGATTCAAAGAATGTACAATAGATAAACCTAGATCCAAGCATTAGGGTTTGTATGAGCACATAGGATTGTTCTTATGCATGAAACCCATTAGTGGTATCAGAGCCATGATTGGTTTAAGTTGTATGTGATGCTTTAACTGTTTGCTTGCTAAAAATCGTGTTTCCTTGCCTCTTCCCGACTCAACTCGGCGAGTCTGTATCTAGACTCGGCGAGTCCAGGTCTGACTTGGCGAGTCTGTGCGTCTGGCAGAGGATATTTCGAGATTTTGTTGCTGTTTTGTCATGGGATTAATGCCTAAATCGTTTTTGAAGTATAAAATCCGAATTTTATAATTTTTGCATGATTACTCCTAACAAAACAATAGATAATTTCAAATCTTTTAAACATTAGTTGTTTATATGATAAATATGGATTATTTAAATTATTTGGTAATTATCTTATGACTAAAATTGGATTAAGTCAAATATAGATAATTATGAAATTAATTGTTTAATTTAAATTATTTGTTGTTTGATCCCTTTTGTTTGGAAAAGTTCAAAACCTGTCCTCAAGTTTTGAAATTTAAATTTTATGATTAAAAGTTAAATTTTGAGTAATTTAAATTTCAAACCCTTAGAAATTTACAAGTTTAAAATTCAACCCTATACTATTATATTATTACAAGCTTAATAAATTTATATATGTATAACTTAAAGTGCTAGTCTTACCTTTAGTAGGCCTCATTCACGATGCCGGTCTATAAGGTTGGTATAAGGTTGCTGCCTATAAAATGGCGCTTAATGGGTGTACACTCACGCTCACCGCTTGCTTGACTGATGAAGGGTCGTTAGCTGAACAGGTAGGATAAGGTAGTCATCTCCTCATTAAAAGTATAATGAATGATACAAAGTAACTACAATGTTTTTACAAATTCACAATCTTAGTTACTATAGGGCAAAATGTGAAAATGATGCTAATCCATGGAATTACACTTTGTACCATTGTCAAACGTTAGTGGAGCGTGTGTGGTTAACCGACACACGAATTTGGAGTTGACATTGGTAGCAAAGGGTGGCTCGATGTTTGTCATAGATCAATGGAGCGTGTGTGGTTTACCGGCACATTGATTAGGTGATAGAGACATTGAGTGCACCATGTTGATTCACATGGTTATTCACAACTTGTTTGCGATCCTCGGTATCCCAATCGCAAATTTGAAATGCATATCGAGATTTAAACATGCCATTGAAAAGTTCAATGAATCTCAAAAGATCTAGGAGTTTTCAAATACATTTAAAACTTAATCTCTTTTTCGTTTTTCATGGTGAGAATTAGTGAATCGTCATTCACTTACCTTCAAATTATTTACTTTTAGAGTACGACATCGCTTTCTAAGTTGTAAATAATGTTGTTGAGTCCTAGCCCTAATTTCTCATTTGGGTGTTTAATTAGGGACTCATTTTCTAATCAAACTTTGTTCCTTTATTTTTCAGATGTTTGCAAACAACAACAATAATGCTTCTGGGTCATTCTCGTTGATGAACCTATGTGAAAAGGTGACATTTGATGGGTTAAACTTCAATGAGTGGATGAGGTATATTCGCATGATCACTCGCTACGAGGACAAAGAATATATCCTCGATGAGAAGCTTGAGAAGATCATCCTAGATGTTGGTACTCCGGAAGAAATGGCCGCCTTTGAGGCCCACGAGCGTGATGCTACGAAAGTTCATTGCCTCATGCTGGCCACCATGAACCTTGAACTCCAAAAGTCCAATGAGGACATGTATCCGTATGAAATGCATCAGGATTTTCTGGACACGTACCACCAAAGCGCGAGGAAAGAGCGCTATGAGATCATTACTAATATGATCACTGCTAAGATGGGGAGTGGAGAATCCCTAACCTCTCATTTGCAGAAAATGTTGAGGTATGTTGATCATCTTCTCAAAGTTAATGTTAAGTTTGATGAGGATTTGGCTATCGACATAATCCTCCACTCCTTGCGTTCCTGCTATAACCAGTTCAGAATGACCTATTACATGAATAAGGAAGAGGTCTCCTTGAGAAAGCTACAAGGATTATTGAGGACTGCTGAGAGCAACCTCAAATACAAATCTGTTGCACCGTCCCCTACTGACGCTGCTTCTGTGATGGCAATTGGCCAAGGGGAGGGAAAAATGAGGAAGGCTCCCTCAAAGATCCACCAAAAGGGAAAGTCCCGAAATGGTTCATCCTCTAGTGGGACCAAAGAAGGCCTTGCTAAATCCTCCTCCGACCGGAAGGAAGCAGACTGCTTCTATTGCCACGAAAAGGGCCACTGGAAACGAAGCTGTGCCAAGTATCTGCAAGACATAAAGGATGGGAAGATAAAGCCCACCTTTGCAGGTATGTATTCTATTAAATATAATAACTCATCATTTTCTACTTCATGGGTTCTTGATACAGGGTGTGGTTTCCACATTTGTTCTGATTTGCAGGGCCTAAGACTAAGTAGGGAGGTGGAGCATGGAAAGATGAACTTGATTATGGGGAACAGAAGATCGTCGCCTATGACCAAAGTCGGAGTTTATTCTTTGGTGTTGAGTAATGGGTTAGGGATAGATTTAAATAATTCTTGCTATTCGCCAGATATGTCAAGAAACATCATTTCATTTCATGGATTATTTAGAAAAGATTTCAGATATTCTTTTGATAATAGTAATGGTTCTATTAATATTTATTTGAATGTTGTCTTTTATTTTAATGCATTACATTGTAATGGGATTTATGAATCTGTGATGGTTGTTGATAGTTTAGGAAATGATGTTTTGAATATTGATTCATCTACTGGTCTAGATAAGGCATGCTTGTGGCATTGTTTCCTTAGTCATGTCAACAAGAAACGCATAACCCAACTCCAAAAGGATGGAGTGTTGGAGTCGTTTGACCTTAGGGACGATGACGTGTGTGAATCTTGTTTACTTGGGAAGATGACCAAAGCACCCTTCACTGGCACTTGTGATATGGGTGAGGGTCTATTGAATCTCATACACACCGATGTGTGTGGGCCCTTTAGAACCACCACAAGGGATGCTTGCCGCTTCTACGTGACTTTTATGGATGATTATAGCAGATATGGATATATCTAATTAATCAAGCAAAAGTCAGAAACTTTTGAAAAATTCAAAGAGTTTATGAAGTGGAGAATCAGCTGGGCAGGAAAATCAAGATGCTTTGGTCGGACCGAGGAGGAGAGTACCTAAGTCTTGAGTTTCACGACTATCTAAAAGAATGCGGAATTGTTTCGCAATTAACGCCTCCGAGGATGCCACAATTGAATGGTGTGGCTGAGAGACGTAATCGGACCTTGTTGGAAATGGTTCGTTCTATGATGAGTCGGGCTTCGTTACCAATAGCTTTCTGGGGGTATGCCTTAGAGACTTCCGCCCATATCCTTAATTTAGTTCCCACCAAGAAGGTTGCCAAAACACCTCACGAGATGTGGACAGGGAAAGCTCCCTCGTTGGAACATATAAAGGTTTCGGGTTGCGAGGCTTTCGTAAGACGAGAGACTCATGACAAGCTCGAACCTTGTAGTGAGAAGTGTTATTTCATTGGCTATCCATAGAAGTCTTTTGGCTATCTCTTCTATAGACCGAGTGACAATGTTGTCTTCGTTGCTAGAAATGGAGTGTTCTGAGAAAGGGAATTGATAAGCCAAGAAGACTGTGGGAGGCAAGTTGATCTTGAAGAGATTCAGGAGTAAAGTGATGAAGGAACCTCTAACACTGACACTCAACTTGAGGAGGAAACTCCTGTTTAACCCGTTGACGAGTCCTTACCTCTTAGACGTTCTAATAGGGTTAATGTTCAACCCCAGTTCTTTGGTTTTCATATTACTACAGAAAGGGATACGTTTATTAGTGATGAAACACTGATAAATTTGGACGAACCTAGCAGTTACAAGGAAGCCATGGCAGGCCCGGAGTCTGCTAAATGGAAAGAGGCTATGGATAGCGAGATTCAGTTCATGTACGACAACCAAGTTTGGAATTTGGTTGATAATGTACCGGGTCGTAAG